TTATTAAAAAACTAATAAAATTAATATTTTTAAATAAAAAAACATAAAAATAATATTCTTATTTATACATTTTCTCCATTATTAGATGATAAAAATAAGGGCAATATTGACTTTTGTCTGGTTTACAGGTGAGAGGAAGGCGGTTAAAAGACACGGTCGACGTTTCGGCGCTGAAGCCATGCATTCTCACTTTAACCGAAGGTAAAAATAACAAAAACAGGAACGATGTCGTATAATCTGTTCAATCTCACCAAAATAAAATTAAAAAAAAAAAAACACATATTTTTCCGTTATAAAATAATAATTTTTAAAACAGAACTGTAGTTTACTAATCACCTTAAAAGCTACGCTTTTCATTGGCAAAAGAAAATTGCTAATAATCTCTCCTCCTCCGTCGGAATTGGAAGCAGAGGACTACGATGAAGAGAGTGCGGTGGCGCACGTCCGGCGAGTGCTGGATATTGTGGCCAGCACCACGTGCTTTGGTCCATCGGGAGCAACCAAAGATCAGCCGAAGCAGGATGCCAGCAAGCATGCGTCGGGCGCGCACAACAACCCCGGCGGCAAGGAATGCACCGGCAATGCAATCAAACAGTCATCGGAAAATTCCTCACCGAAGCACGTGCCGTCGGATGGAGATGGATATTTGAGCTATTCTAGTCCGGAGCTCGCCAGCTTCTATGAGTTCTTTTCACTCTCCCACCTCACTCCTCCTCTTCATTGTACTGTCCTCTCTCTCTCTCTCTCTCTCTCTCTCTGTTTCATATATTTTCTTTTCTTCTTCTGATTTATAGTTACTTATTTTTGCTAGAGTTGAAGTTAGATTTGATTTACTGTGGATTTTGCAGTTATAAAGAAGGTAACGAAGAGGCAAGTTGAGGAGATTTCAGCTGACGATCATCTCTTCTCGCTTGATGTGAGATCTTCGCTCTGGAAATTTGCCCGTACTTGTTTCTGTATTAGCTTTGCGTTTTATGTTTGTAAATTGTTAACCAGAAAAATCTCTTGAATGTACATTTTTTATGGAATTTAAGCTGTAATGTTTATATTGTGAATAGGATGCAATACATAGAGAATGATCATGATCTTCAATAATAAATCTGAAGAATATTGGACGTATTCTATGTTTGAGACACTGGAATATTTGAATATAGATTCATAACAAAATGTGTTAAGGTGATAACTGAGTTACTAATGTTGTTGTAATGGCCAGGTGAAGCTTTGCAATGGGAAGCTGGTTCATGTGGAAGCTTGCCGGAAGGGCTTCTATAGTGTTGGGAAACAGCGGATTCTGTGTCATAACCTTGTTGATTTGTTATGCCAGCTTAGTAGAGCCTTTGAATATGTATGCTCTCAACTTGTTTTCCTTCTGCATATACTTTTTTGTCAATCATTGTTTGTTATCTGTAGTATCTCAAACTATTTTCAAGCTAATGATTGCATTATCCATATCACAGGCATATAACAATCTGATGAAAGCATTCTCAGAGCGTAACAAGGTATACAATATTGAATTAGTTTTGTTCGATAGGATAGTCCACTGACAGCTTTCAGGCCTTGTAGCTCATGAGTATTACTTTGCAGTTTGGAAATCTTCCATATGGCTTCAGAGCCAACACATGGCTCGTCCCTCCCGTTGTGGCACAGTCACCAACTATTTTTCCACCTCTTCCTGTGGAGGATGAGACATGGGGTGGTAATGGTGGTGGTTTGGGAAGAGATGGCAAAAGCGATCTTTTACCTTGGGCTAATGAGTTTTCATTTCTTGCATCTATGCCTTGCAAGACAGCAGAGGAGAGACAGGTTAGGGACAGGAAAGCATTCCTTCTTCATAGCCTATTTGTTGATGTGGCTATTTTCAGAGCCATTAAGGCTGTGGTTCATGTAATGAGAAAGTCAGATTCAGAATGCATAATAGAAAATGGGGAAGTTTTCTATACTGAGAGAGTGGGAGATTTGAGCATTGAAGTGATAAAAGATGCTTCTGATGCAAGCTGTAAGGTGGACACTAAAATTGATGGAATTCTAACACTTGGTGGGGATGAAAAAAGGCTAGTAGAACGGAACCTACTGAAAGGGATCACTGTGGATGAAAATACTGCTGCCCATGTAAGATATGAACCAGTCTTCATACCTTTTTTTTTTCTTTTTCTTTTTTTGGGAAGTTATAGATTCTTACTAAAGTAGCTGAGCCATTCTATGTCTTTTTGAGTGTAGGATATTTCCACTCTTGGTGTTGTAAATGTAAGATACTGTGGTTACATTGCCATTGTGAAGGTTGAAGGTAGAGAGGACAAAAATTGTGGTTCGCCATCTCAAAGCATTGAACTTGAACAGCCTGGAGGCGGTGCTGATGCCTTGAATATTAACAGGTTATGATAACTGGTGCAATATGTCACTGAATTTTATATAATTTTTAATTTCATTTAATGTTTATTGCATAGACGACCATAAAAAAGCAGTTTTCTGAAAAGATCTTTTCATTTTCTAAAAGCTGTTTACTAGAAGCTGAAGCTTCAAACTCAATGTTTTTGGAGTAGATCTTTTGTTATTAAGCTTTTGAATTTGATAATTTTTATCAATTTCTACAGTCTTTTATGATTATTCTATATGAATTCATGATTTTGCACTTTTTCAAAAGATCTTGTCAAATAAAACTTATACATAAGCTAGAGCTAGGCCAAATAGGCTCTAAGAAGTTTGGTTGGTAATTAAAAAAAATTCTAGTGTGCCTTAGTGATATGGTTTAGATCTAACATTCCCTCTCTTCTTACAGTTTGAGATTACTTCTTCACAAAACTGCAACTATAGAACAAAATAAACCAGCAACAGTTTTTGAACTTGAAGAGCTTAGTGCTTCCTTAACTTTTGTCAAGAGACTGGTAGAAGAAAGTCTAGTGAAGCTTGAGAGAGAGGAACTAAAACGGAAACCTTTTGTGAGATGGGAACTTGGAGCTTGTTGGATACAACATTTGCAGGACCAGAAAAATACAGAAAAAGATAAGAAATCAATGGGAGAGAAGCCCAAGAATGAAATGAAGGTCGAGGGACTTGGAAAACCACTTAGGTCCATCAAGAGCAGCAGGAAAAAGTCAGATGCTGGTGCTCCGAAAATGGAGACTGGAAACTCAAATTCCCATGCACATGGTGTTCATGGGAAGGTTGAAAATGTTACCTCAGCTTCTATAGGATCTCAGCTTGAAGACAACAGCAGAGATAATGAACTTGCCTTAAAGAGGATGATATCCGACGAGGCCTTTGCACGATTAAAGGAATTGGACACTGGACTTCATCACAGTGTGGGTATCCTTGAAAGATGCAGGCATGTTTTATCGATACAAACTATGAACTAACCTATTGTATGTGTGCTGACAGTCCTTGCAGGAACTAATTGATTTGTCGCAGAAATATTACATTGAAGATGCTCTTCCAAAACTGGTAAAAGTCTTTAATATTCAATTTTCTATATCTGCATCTAAAAAGGTTGTGGTACTTCCAGGTTCTAGTACTTAATCACAGAATACAGGTTGCAGATTTTGGTTCTCTGGAACTATCACCTGTTGATGGTCGTACTCTTACTGATTTCATGCATACTAGAGGTCTTCAGATGCGTTCTCTGGGGCATGTTGTGAGTTCTTTTAATGAATGAATCAGTTAATCTTTTTGTTTGCAGCTTTCAAGTTGCAAAACATCATACTTTTAACCTCATGAAGAGATGGATAAAGAAATCTTATTTATAAGCATAAAACATACAGCACTTGTGGTTTTCTATATCAGGCTGACTTGGCATTTCTTTTCTGCATCAGGCCAAGCAGTCAGAAAAGCTATCACATGTGCAGTCACTTTGTATCCATGAGATGATAGTTCGGGCATTTAAGCATATTCTTCAGGCAGTTATTGCTGCTGTTGGTAATACTGAGAAAATGGCGGTATCAATTGCTGCTGCCCTGAACCTGCTGCTTGGGCTGCCTGAAAATGAAGAACTCCACAAATCGTGCAAAATTCATTCCCTTGTTTGGAGGTGGTTAGAGGTATTCTTGATAAAGCGTTATGATTGGGATATTTCCAACTTAGACTACAAAGATGTGAGGAAATTTGCAATTCTACGTGGATTATGTCACAAGGTATTTCACACTAGAACTTTAATTCTGATTTTTTAGGTTTTGGGGTTGGGTTACATTTTGCAATGTCATATCTCTGAGTTCATTGCCAATGTTGGGATTAATCCAGGATGAATTTTTAGGGTGCATCTGATCAATTTATATTCTTGTTTTGGTAATGCTTATGTCATGCAAGAGTGAAGTACAAAATGGACTTAGATGACTGAACTTGCCATCAACTTGCTTAGACATTCAGATTTTACTTAAAAATGCATGACTCTAGTGACTAGGTTATTTATAAATGTAATAACTATAGAAGTTTGCCATATTGGTTGATTGTAGAGGTACTGCTCCTATAGTTAATAATTTGCTCGACCGAGGGAAATAAATGAATATATAATGAAAACAATTTTTAACTTGAAATATTAAATTACCTTGAATGCATAGAGAATATTCAATTTTTAGCCATGTGTGTATTTAATTATTTATAAGTAAAATTCATTAAAAAAAATATGGTATGGATCAAACATGAATACTAATTTTTTTTGGTCCTACATTCCTTTTTGTAGGTGGGAATTGAGTTGGTACCAAGGAATTTTGACATGGATTCTCCAAGCCCTTTCAAAAAATCAGATATTGTTAGCCTGGTTCCAGTTTATAAGGTGATTAAGTGGACCCCTTACGTGTTATCTTCATTCTAAATTGATTGATTTTGTTTATTGTCTGTTCTTCTTAGTATTTTCTACCTCTCTGCAGCAAGCTACATGCTCATCTGCTGACGGAAGGCAGCTCCTAGAATCATCAAAAACAGCTTTAGACAAGGGAAAACTTGAAGATGCAGTGACCTATGGTACAAAGGTATATGACTTCCAAAAGCATGACTTCTATTAGTTTTTTTATATAAACTGCTTGCATTACCAGCTATACTTTACTCCTGCCTGCAGGCTCTTGCAAAGCTGGTGGCAGTTTGTGGTCCCTGTAATCGGATGACAGCTGGAGCTTACAGCCTTCTTGCAGTAGTTTTATATCACACTGGAGACTTCAATCAGGTCTTTTTCTTGATCAATTTTTTCCTTCTGACGCCAGACATCCAAGGAATTGAATGCAAGAATTATATTTTCTTCTCTGAATTATATTGAAATATCCTTGTGGAGAAGTTTTGCTGTCCTCTTTGATAAGGTTTTCAAGTTGGACATAATTTCACCATCTTTCCATATTTCAGGCTACGATATATCAGCAAAAGGCATTGGATATCAATGAGAGAGAGTTGGGACTAGATCATCCAGATACAATGAAGAGCTATGGGGATCTTGCTGTGTTCTATTACAGACTTCAGCACATAGAGCTGGCTCTCAAGTATGCATTGCCACTTTATATATATAGCTCTTATTGACTTTTATGCATCCCATATTCAAATTTATGTAAAGTGCTCATAAGCTTCTATGGTGTGGTGTTTTAATCAAGTTTCTGATCAAGGCATCCATCGATTACCTCAATGCTTTAGCTAACACATTCGATTCTTTACTTTGCTGATGATCTGTATGTTTACTGTATTTATGGAATTTCTTTTATAACATGTCATAGTGCAGATATTACATCAATTTATCAGCTGTTTGGTTTTTTGCCAATGAGTTTCATTGGATTTTTGCTTCATGTTTCTAATTATTTTTTTTGTTGATGCTGAAACCATGGGTTTTTCCCTTCTAGGTTTAACTTTTTGCACCCAGTCTTATGTTTTTCCCATTTTGTAAATTTTCTTAAGAAATGTCCTCAGAGATAACAGTAACATTTAGATGAATTGATCTTTTGTGACCTTATAAGGTGGACATCTATTGTGATAACAGATATGTAAAGCGTGCTCTGTATCTTTTACATCTTACATGTGGCCCATCTCATCCAAACACTGCTGCAACATACATTAATGTTGCTATGATGGAAGAAGGCCTAGGAAATGTCCGTGTTGCCCTTAGATACCTTCAGGAAGCTCTGGAATGTAACCAAAAATTACTTGGTCCAGATCATATTCAGGTTGGTTCTTTATTTGTCTGCTGAATGTCATTTTATGATACTTTTACTCCAAAATTTCACTTGTCAAAAATAGCCTCTGAAAAGTAATCCTTTTTTTCTTAATCTCTTCAGACAGCAGCAAGCTACCATGCTATAGCAATTGCATTGTCATTGATGGAAGCATACCCTTTGAGTGTTCAACATGAACAAACAACTCTGCAAATCCTCCGAGCAAAGCTGGGTCCAGATGATTTGCGTACACAGGTATATTATTCACCCTGAGGAATTAATAAGATGCTCTTTTTCTTGGATGGATTTAAAGTAGCATCCTAGCTGCGTATTAGATGAATGCTTCATGGAGATGATTCCACCAAAAATAGAAGAATTCCTAAACCTGGAGCTGTATGCAGCTGCCCTAGAGTGAGATTTAATTGACAGAAAAGATTGTAGCACTTTAAAATTATTCAACTTATAGCAATTGATGGCTCACCTCCTAATTTCTAATAGCACATGATAGAATCTTTTTTCCTGTGTCTGTAGCATGGTAAGCTTTATGTCTTGTTTAATCTGTTTCCACTTCTGATTATAAATATGTAATTCTATTCTTTTAATTAATTGCTGCAGGATGCTGCTGCATGGCTTGAATACTTTGAGTCCAAGGCTTTGGAACAGCAAGAGGCTGCTAGAAATGGTACCAGGAAGCCAGATGCATCCATAGCCAGCAAGGGACACCTGAGGTTACTTACATTAGCATATTCTCTTATGACAAGGATCTTGATAAAATTTATTTTTTTTGAACAACCAATAACATGCAACTGCCTCTGCTGGTTCCTGTGCTATTTAGATAATTTAGATTCCTGTTATTGATTTGCCCAAGTGTCTGTGTCCTATTATTATTTCTTATCTTTTATAAATAACATATTTGGGCTTTGTTCTGATACTGATTCTTCATTTTGGCAGTGTATCTGATTTACTGGACTATATTAGTCCGACTCACGATGCCAAAGGGAAGGATGTAATGACCATGAAGAGGAAAAGCTATATTACAAAGGTACACTGGCATTTAAAATACTGTTCTTCAGAATTATTTTGGCCTGTTAATTTTCTGATGGTTTTATTTGTTACTGTGGCAGTATCTAGGGTTAGTTGATAAAACAGGAATGACACAATCCTTTATTTAAAGAAGTTTTCTTTTTACTGATCTAATGTTTGCTATTATAAAGTTAGTATCACCTAATAAAGAGTAAATAATTGCCCCAGTAAAAGCTTAATAAGTTCATTGCAAAAAAGTTTATACTGATAAAGGGGTGTGATGAATGGTTGAGAGATGGTGAGAATTCACCAGACTAAAATACCATGTACGTACAGATGCTGCCCCTTTCTAGTCTCTGTATTCATCCAGATGGACCTCATATACAATTTAAATCATCCTCTGCAGGTGAAGGGAAAAACTGAGGGAACTTCTAGTTCTAGTTCATCAGCTAGTTCTGATGAATCTTCAGCAATAACTGCAAAAGAGGCTTCGGATGAAGAGTTACATTTACCTAGTGGGGAAGGTGATGTAGATGCTACCCAGGAGACCAGCTCTACGCCAGTCCAGTCCCTAGATCCTGCTATAAAGGTGCCTACAGAGGGAAAGCCAAACAATGAAAATAACACTTTGGCTGAATCACATGATGAAGGAGATGATGGTTGGCAACCGGTTCAGAGGGCAAGGTCATTATCCTCGCTTGCTCAGAGACTAAAGCAGCAGCGAGCAACTATTACTAAACTTTATGGTTATCAGAAAAAGAATGTGTCTACTGATGCAGACGTTCCTCCACTAAATGCTCCAAAGCAAAATAGTAGGTATTACATCTTAAAAAGGACTGTATCTCACGGAGTTTACACAGACCAGCACGCTTTGAATCCTCCCCAAGGTTCTAAATATGGACGTCGACTAGTCAAAACCGTTACTTACAGGGTCAAGTCGATTCCTCCTAAAACTCGTTCAACGGAGACAATTGGACCTGCGAACGAGGTGTTTGTTTCTCATGTAGAAGGTAGTCCTACAGTTCCACCAAATGTTCACCTTGGAAAATCTCCGTCTTACAAGGAAGTAGCATTGGCCCCACCAGGTAGCATTGCTAAGCTGAAGTTTACTGATCCCGAAAGCAATCCCCTTAATTTCCAGGAATTTTGTGTTGGTAATCGTCAAGGAGTGGAAGGGAATAAAACGAAAGAGAATTCTGAGACTCTGGGTATGGGGCCAGAGGATTTATGTCGAGAGAGGAACGAGGGTGCTATATGGCATCCAACAGATGACTTAAATGCGGGAACTGGTAAAGCTGAGGATAAAGAACATATTGTCTCAATTAATGGAATAGAAGATAAATGTTATTTAACAGCGTCCGAAAGCGGGGAGGGAATTAAGCCTAGTGATCTTGTGGTTGAGGAAATCGAAGAGCCCAGCATGTTGATAAATGGCGTGGCAGATTCAATTGATTCTCCCAAAACAGAAATCTTAGGGAAAGAGACTTCTAAAACATTTGAACCCCACAGCGATTCAAATACTGCATTACAAGGGGTAGAGGGTTCGACAGTTGACAAATCCCTGGTTCTAAATTCAGCTGATCCACGGGAATTAGCCAGTAAGAAGTTGTCAGCATCAGCAGCTCCATTCAACCCATCAACTGCTGTTACACTTGCTCCACCGGTTACCATGAATATTGCTCTTCCTCCTGGTACTGGGACCATTTCAGCTGTTGCACCTTGGCCGGTGAACATGCCTCTTCACCCCTCCCCTGCTACTGTCTTGCCAAATCCAATGTGCTCATCCCCTCACCATCCCTATCCAACACCTCCTCCAACCCCAAATATGATGCAGTCTCTGCCTTATATGTATTCACCATATACTCACACGCAGCCTATACCAACCAGCAGCTCATATCATACAAATCAATTCTTGTGGCAGTACAATGTGAACCCCAATGTATCAGAGATCATTCCTGGATCAGTTTGGCCTGGTTGTAACCCATTGGAGTTCTCTATACCACCACCTGTTGTTGAACCAGTTGGTGATCCCATTTTGGGGCCCAAAATGAAATATGGTGATTTGGCAAACCTGAGTTCAGGTCAACATCTGCTAGTTGATGTTGACACTGCAGGAGAAACCAAGGAAGAAATTAACCTTCCAGCGTCTGAGGCAATAAAGAATGTGAATGGCATAGTTGAGGTTGGACTGGATAGTCAGAAGGAAAATGGTCATTCAAGTAAATGTGGGGTTGAAGTTTCTGGGAATGGACCAACTCAGGACAACATCTTGAAGGGAAATGCTGGATGCAGTGCTGAAAGGAAGAATGATGGTGAGAAAACGTTAAGCATTTTGGTAAGGGGTAGAAGAAACAGAAAGCAGACCTTGAGAATGCCAATCAGTTTGCTAAATAGACCATATGGTTCAAAGTCTTTCAAAGTGATATATAACAGAGTAATCCGTGGGAGTGAAGCTCCAAAATTTACCAGCTTTTCTTCAAGTGAAGATTGTACAGCTAGCTCATCATAACCATTAGTTTTGTCTTCTTAGCCATTAAGCATGGTGGATTTTTGGGATCAAACTGAAGATACGAGTGTTGGAAGATGTTGACTATTGCATGACCCAGTTGGTTTCTCTAACCTAAGATTCAGGTTGGTTCTCTATAATTACTCCTGAAGAGATATGCATGTGTCATGACCTTATTGAGTCTTTCCTTTTGACACTTATAAACTCCACCATAATTTTCTTTGTCATGGGTTCAATGGTTTACCTCTGGACCGTATGAGCATGTCCACAAGGCAGACCCTCAGTGAAACCTTCTAACATATTCTTCCCATGGTTCTGAGTGCATGTTGAAGGTTGATTTGTCTGGAACTATACTTATATTAAAAACATTCAAATTTTGCAGGTGTTCTCTACTTGTCCTCATCTTAAAAGTTTGAACGGGATGATGATGGCTCTTCACATGAGGTATGTTTATATCTACTTGCTTTCGGTGTGTGGCAAAATCTCCTGAACATGATCTAATTGTGTTTGCACTGATCATTAAGACTCAACACCATCATGTTATACGGTTATAGTTGTTGTTTCGCTACTTCATTTGAATGTCTCATGGAATGCTTAGATGCGAGGTAGACAACCTTGTTCGTCACAATTTCATTCTATCTTAAAACATCTCATTTTTCATCTCAGATTCTGGCCTTCAGTCTCCTCTGTTTTATATAGAGAATACCATTTTCTTTGACGTAATTATTTTTGTTTTGAAGATAATACATGGTTCTGTTTCAATCTGCTGGTTCACGACAGTTGGGAGTTGGGACATTGGCGGCGTTAACCATTTTGGTTCAGGATACAGTTTGGACAGTTAACCATTTTGGTTCAGAATACAGTTCGGACACATTTTTGATATATTGGATTGGATGATTGGATTATGGAAGTTAAAAGACCGGTTTTACTGATTTGACCATAGCAATGACATTTATGGTTATTCATTTTAATTTTTTCATCGGCTAAATTAAGATTATTTATTGATTTGAAGTAGGAGTATAAGAGGTGTTCCAATTCATATTTTACAAATTTAGTTTACAAAAACTAATAAATATTTACAAATTTGTTGATCTTACACATATACTACAATTATAATTTTAATCATATAAAGAAAACTCAGATACATTTAACTTAGGTTAAAATCTCAATTTGGTCTTTGAATTATTGTATAAACTTTGGATTTAGTCTTTGCACTAAAAAAATCCCTTATTTAGTCATTGAACTAGTGTACGGACCACCGATTGGATCCTACTGTTTACTAATTTAATTTCAAGTTGATTTTTTTGTATAAAAAATAGTTAATGTATTTGTTATTTAACTACAAAAAATAATAATTTAACGGTCACGTGTCACGTTAATAAAAAAATATGTTATTTATTTTTTGTGTGGAAAAATCAACTTAGGGTAAATTGATAAACAATAGAACTAAATCAAAAATTCATACAATAATTTAGGGACCAAATTGAGATTTATACAATAATTCAGAAATCAAATTACAAATTTTACCTTTAACTTATCCTTTATCCATAAAAATGTTTTAATTTGAATTATTTCCCCATTCTCTCATCGGAGATTTAGATAGAATCAAAAACCTTTCTATTTCTATTTCCCCACAAATGCCAAGCAATGGATATAAACAAGCAAGACCAGATCTCCTTAAGCTTTCCATTTCGCCATAGCTAAAAAAGTTGTCTAAATGCATCACAAATTGAACCAGATAGTGTGCATTGAATCCCCCGCCATGCGAATAATTTTCTTCCAAATCTGTTGCGCCCATCTACAGTTTATCATGAGATGAGCCAAATCCTCACCCTTTCCACGGCATACTGGACAGATAAGCTTCCTCCCTCCACCACAGTTCCTCTTCTTGCCAAATTATTCTTTGTTGGTCATCTATCCAGGAACATTCTCCATGCGAAGAAACACACCTTTCTTGGCAGAAGTTTATTCCATATTGCTCTACATAAATCTGCATCCAAAATCCTTTGACTTGTATTCATTAAACCACACGCTTTCCTGGATGTATACAAACCATTGCTGTCGAACTTCCATATTCTACTGTCCCCCTGCTCTTTCGTCAACCTCACCCCTTCCAACATTTCTAATAATTTCTTCTCATCCTCACATTCCCTCCCACGCAAATTTCTCTTCCATCTAAAATTCCAGCACTAATTATCATTTCTCCATTCCCCCATCTCCTTAATACATCCTCCCTCATAATTTTTATTCTCTTTAACCTAGAAAAGACCTACCCTACACAGAATCTCCTATCCACATGTCTTCTCAGAACTTTATTCTATTACCCTCCCTAACTTTCAGTCAAACCCATTTCCTATCACATCCTTAGATTTCTCCTCCATACCCACTGCAACCATATATCACTCCATACCTTTGACAGCCTTCTCCTACTATAATTATTCACCCAAGTATCCCCCCTACAAATATAATACTTCTCCCTCACCACCCTTGACCACAAACATCCTGCCAGTTATTCATTTTATTTAATTGTTCATGGTTTGACCATACCAGATTATCATGTAAAATCACTAAATTTATGAATGCAATCAAGTCAGGTGATGTCTGCTGTTCTGGATTTAAAAGTCACAATTTGTCAAGAAAAAGACATTCGTTTCTACTCAAATATAAAAGTAATTACAGTTCCCAGAACCAAGAAAGAAAACTCTCACTCATAGTTTTGGTCAAGAAATCCGACCCAAGCTATTTCATTGTTCAAAAACTGAGAGCATATTGAATCGGATGCAGCTTGACATGGCCAGGTTTCTTCAAGGCTATGGGAGGCCATGGTGCCACCACAGATACAAAGCAAAGTTACCCTTTCTTTTGAAATTAGTTGAATAATTTGCTGCTTTATAAGCACACAGCCAGAAACATTTACCTTCAAAGGGCTTAATATAGCTTGTTTAAATAGGATTCATCTGGAAGGACGATGGAGGCAGAATAGGTTTCTCTGATCTTCTCATGCAAGATAATGCTTCCAAAACAATAACAGCAACAAGAATTATCCCAACAAGAAAACCATATCCAATCTTCCATTCATTCCCTGCTTCTCCAAAATGAATCCCCAATACTACATTCAGAGATCCGAAGAAAAGCACCATCCTCCCGAACCAGTGATGATACCAGTTCCAGTATTTCCTTATCTTTGAATCCTTTTTTGGCCGTAGAAAGAATGCCAATATCTGAAATCAAGCATTTTTTCTCCTTTTCAATTACATTTTTCATTCAGCAACAGAAAAGAAGTTGGCAATTATTGAATCAGTTGTAGGGCAAACCTGAAGAATGCTAAGCACAAGAACAAAGATTCCTATGCCTTTATGTGCTGGTATGTCTGCATTTATCCTGTGGTAGAGTTGAATACCTAGGAGTACAGCAACAAGGCCAATGATGAATCCCACAAACTGAATTCCTGCATGAAGATAATACCACAGTGGATCTTTGTGCTTAAAGTATCTAGCAACAATTGCTCCCATGGGAAGGATTAAACCCCATCCAATGATTCCCAATACCCCATGATGCCTCTTGTAGGTAGAACCTATGTTCACAACAGATGCTGCAAAGACAGTGTTTCTTGTTATTTCTTGCTCCAAAACTAACTTCAACAATCGACAAAACAAAGATTGGCAAAGAATGAGCAAACCTTGAGAGAAGTCAAACCAGATAGCTGTTTTGTCATCATGTTTGGCGAGGCGGTAGAGATTTGGGTATCTGCTTGCAAAGGCCAAGATGATAGGTTGGTGAGAGAGAGGAACTGGGAACTTCACTTGAAATGCCAGATAAATCATGGCCCCGTGAAGGGCAACAACAGGCGGCACATGTTCAACTAGTTGCAATTCTCCCTTATCTGGTATGACTTGCGATGCATGGAAACCCTCCAAGTAATACTGCTTGATTCTTGGATGACCCTTTCTATTGAACCAGCCTACCATACAACTAGATCCAACCATCAATCCATTGTTCGAAAAACCTATTCCAACCCATCCGGTGCTGTATACAGCAGACAATATAATTGTCATCACATTGTCTTCCCTCTGCAAATACTGCATAAAATGGCAACAAATTTACAAAATTCAAACAGTTTTACAAAGCGACACATAATGCTTCTAATTTCATGTATATACTGGTCAATTCTATTCCAAAAGAACATAATCACATCCCTTCATTGAAGCCAAAACAAAAAAGTCTGGGTCATTTTATCAAACATCTAGAGATCATTTATAACCAAACAATTTTACCATAAACAAGCAAAGAAAATTTCATCATTTTCCTCATATGATTAAAACTACCAATCGAATAATGAAGCAGCAAGGTTCAAATTCGAAAATAAAAGCATGTAAATGTGAATAATAAGATTAAAAGAAAACTTAATTACCCTCAAAACAAATGAACTCCAAATCGGAGTGCAGATCATGTTGGATATATTGCCATAAGGTGGAGCAAGAAAAGTGCTCAGATCGGTACCACAGAGCTCAAATCTCTCTCCTTCCCCATCGCCGGCACTGCTAATAGAACCATCGTCGATATCATTAGCACCCTGAGGCCTTACCTCATTATAATCTTCTGGAATATCGTTACCCAGGAACTTATGATTACCCTCCTCCTCTTTACCGGCTGCAAAAGCCTTGGATCCCAAGAAAAACCCTAAAATGCATAACACGACAAGAACCCATGAAAGGGAAACCCGAAATCGTGAATCCGCCATGGAGATCGAAGGCATCCGCTGAGAATCCCGTGTTGGGTGAAGAAGTGAAGAGCAAGAAATGAAAGTGTAAAGGAGAAGGCGTTTACGGATGGGTAGGATGTTTCAATTCCTTGAAACCCAAGGTTGTGGTGCATTAGGGTTGTTGGTGATGGGAATGAATGATCATGGTGGTTGTTATAGCGGGTAATCATCATTCCCGCGCAAACTCAACAGCGTATTCTTGTGTCTTTGTTGTTAATTGTTTCTTCCGAATTTCTATTAAAAGCAATTTTTATTGCTATAATAATAGTTCTTGGTCATGGTCGATCAACACCCAAAAAAACAAAATTGTATATATATATATATATATATATCATAAAATTGTTTTACAAAACAAATTGTACGTGGTCTGTTTTATAAAATTACTTAAATACTTTTAATTTTGTTTTTTTATTATTTTTTAAAAAATATTTAAATAATTTTATAAAGTAAACTGTATGCAATTCATCTTGTAAAACAAATTTTTGTATATATATATATATATATACATACACTTAGTCATGCATTATTTTGTTTAGTAAATAAAAATGATTGAACTGGAAAAAAAAAAAAAGAGACCAATTTTTGTTGTTTCAATATTTAGCTTATTGAGAAATGAATTAAGTGATTTAAAGGTAATTTTTTTAGTGAAAAGAAAAAGTTTTGTATTTAAGTTATATATTATGTAAGTAAAATAAATATGGTAAAAAATTATTGTGTAATTTAAAATAAAAAAATATTTATCTTCTCTGTTTATAATTGGATATTGAAACTCTAATGACCAGACATATAGCTAACCTTACTAATATTCTCTGGTGGAAACTTGAAATTTGAATTTAAATTCTATAGTTTAAAATTTTAAATTTTTAATAATTTAGAACACCCTTCTTCAAGTTTTCAACTCAAAATTTGATGGTGTTAGATAAATTAACCCCCACAAAAAATAAAGATATATAATAAAATAATAAAATTAGGAGTTTAAAAATAATATGATAAAATTTAGTTGAACAGCACCTTATATATATTGGGTTTTCTCTGCAACTCTTTCTCCTACGTTTACCAATCTATAATCCGTACGAACAAACTTAATTCCATTCGAGCAGCACAGCAGTATACAATCTTAAGATTTTACAAACAAATTTAATTTTATTTCAAATCATTGCAGCATAATTAATCAATCTTGTATGTGTTAAGAAATTGAGTTTTGATTCCATTATCCTTCTACCTTTTTTATCTTCTTTTTTTTTTTGAACAAAATAATAATTACAGTAAAACTATATATTAGGGGACCAGAAATTAATGTTAGTGATTAAATTTGAAGACAAAATCAAGGTACCACATCACTGAACTTTTACCACTTCGGTCACAAACGTGGATGGCCTACCTTTTCTGTCTTGAATGTGAACAAAATGGATTTATTTACTTTGTAATAACCCATCCATTCATCCACAGTACAAGCTCAATCGTTTAACATTCAACTCATTGAATTGACATCCAAAGAAGAGAATAGTATTTTCGGTCCGAACTAGCAAAGAAAATGCCGGTCTGGACAACCATACTCCTAGCTCCGAGGGTGTGGGGAAAAGGGTAGAGAGGAAACATCTAGCTACCAGTGACATCAATTCATGTAGCAACAATAATATCAATGTTTATTATTCTCAGAGCACAACATGAAAAGGACACCATATATATGAAGCTTCTTTGTACACTAGATGAGTACATGACATTCAGACCATCATTTGAGCCGGTTGAAGTTAAGGCAGCATTTTGTTTGCTAATTAAAATTGCAGTGGTACAAGCAGGTGATGAGGGGCTCAGTCTTGGTTGCTTTTTGATAGGTTGTAAATTCATCAGGCAGATGAAAATCTTGGAATTCTTTCTCAGAGCATTCTCTGTAAAACTGTGAAGGGAAAGTTATAGGTCACCATGGGCAATCAAGAGCAAGAGCACTCTCTGACCTTCCAAAGACAGATCCTTGGAATTGTTGTAAACAGAAACAGCCTTAAACTCTCCGGAGAAATATTATCAATAAAAACTATAAGAAACATGATTTGAAGCCCAAATTTTGGAGTGCAATGTTGAAATTTTTTTAGACAAGCTCTAAAGACACATTGGTGCTGTGAAGATGTCATCGGATCTTAGGACCCTGAAAATGTGTTCCTCTCCACTCTCCTCATCAGTCCTAAAAATCCATTTACTCTTACCCCTTGAACTCTTCTCCATGGAAATTCCCTTTCTTTCAGCTCCAGAATGACTTTCTCCATCGCCTAGATTTCTCCTCTCAGTTTTGTTACTTCTTGCTATTGTGGTAATCTCCATGCCTCTGCCTATGGGACACTTCAAAGACCTCACCGTAGCCCTATCCTTCATTCCTCTGAGATGACCTCCCACCCCTTCCTTCTCGGCCACCAAGTTGTTAGCCACCACCACAGCCTTTCTTTCATTAACATCTAGCAACTTCAACAGCTTCCTATAGTTATCGTCTTTGCAATCAACCAGACAAAAATCAATATTTTCATAGTTTTGCAGAATCTCAAAGGGATCTCCAGTTGTAAATTCTACAATGTCTTTCAGACCCGAATCTTTAATCACTTTCTTTGCTTCAGCAAGAACAATCTCTGGGAGAATGCATACAAACCTGGCTCCCGTAAGCCTTGCGGCAGTAGCTAATGCAATTGTTGATGGTGATACATAAGATGTGATTTCCACTATCAGTTCTGCTTTCGTACCAGCTGCTAATGCTGATATGAACTCATTGCTCCCAGGCTCTCGTGTTCTCCATGAGTTACATCGCCTTTTATGATCATCACACTAAGGAAAATAGAAAAGTAGACAAGTTAGCCAGTACTTCCCATGATTTTTTCTCCAGAAGCTTGAAAAAAGCAAGAGGAAATATAACAACATTATAACTTGCAGAATCACTTATCATCCCAAAACGTAGTCCTTTCAACATCAGATTTAGTTATATGTATTGCACAGCAATACCTATATCTAGCTCATTTAATTTCAAAATCAAATAAGCCTGATATTAGGGAGGTTAAAAATCCCTCCCCTTGTGATTAAACACGTACAAAGTATTCAGTCATTGCCTCCACTGCTACATGCACAAGTAATAAGACATCTATGAAATTATGATATATAGGTTTCACATTCTGCATATTTGATGAAAAATTTAGCTGAAGCATTACATTATGGATAAGGGTTCTTCAGCTTGCTGGAAAGAAAATGAGCCACCATTGATCTTAGCACCAGGCCAGAAAGAAAAAACAAAATTTACCATTAAATTATGATTACAGAAATTGCATAAACTGGATTTCATATGCATGTTATACATCTCGAATAGAAAAAGATCATACATTCACAAAATCGCCATTAATATTTCATTGATCTTAACAGGAATGCAGAAAGCTGGAATCCTCCATCTTAAAAAAGAAAAGAAAGAAAGAAAGAAAGAAAGAAAAAAGGAAACCTTTCCCAATCCCAAATCAGATTCATTATAAATTTCATTACCAATATTTCTTGTAAAATCCGACACAAAACAACCCTTCAATGGCACAACCATTAAAATTCGAAAGACCCTTGACTTCAATTGTAAATAACAAGATACCAAACAATACAGAACAGAGAAATATGTGAGAAAAAAAACAAGAATCCATGAAGGAGCATACCAACTGCACGGTTTCAAGAAATGCTTTCGTAGCAGATGTAGCAGACCATTCCATGTTCATATGACCCATGATACAAATCGAAGGGTAATTTGCCAGCGGCCGCACTAGCCAAAGAAAGAAGGCAAAACAAGGATAGGGAGAAAGACAATCTTCTGCAGAATCTGCCGAGTTCTTTATTGAAGTTCTTCGTCTGGGGTCTTTTCCAGAAAGAAAAGAAGATCATGCTACCCCATTCCTCGCCGATGTTGGAACCCTCTTTAATAACGACGATGGCGGAGGGTGAAGAAATAACCGTCGCCGGTAAAAACGGTGATTCTCCGTTCTTATTTCGTAAAGTGTAGGGCACGGCTTGTCTGGCAAACATGTTATTGGATAACTCAGCCACGTCAGCTAATGA